TGGATGGATGGATGGATGGATGGATGGATGGATCTCCAACTCTACCTGAACTTCTTTGTTCCACAAAATTATAAATTGTCTAATTTTCTTTTCTGCAGTTCTGCTCTGGAGCCCAACCCGTCATGCGGATTTACAAAACCGTGCTGTACTCACAGGAAGTGATGCACGTGGTTCTGGTCCACAGTCCAGCCAGTCAGAGGGAGTTCTCCCAGTTCCCTTCTCTGAGCCTCGACCCAAACGCTGTTTGTGTTTTCAGTGATGGATGTTTTATCTGGAGGCCCGAGGCGATGTGTGAAACTCATGGGTGAGATGGAGAAACCTCAAACATTCCCAGGGTTTTCCTCATTAAGCAGCTGAATCAGCATTTCTGACCTGTAAACACAGCAGCATGGATCAGCCTACAGAAAGACACCAGATAGAAGCATAAACACAGGTAACAATCTATGCTCAAAGGTTCATTATTGTTTCTTCCTCTCAGATACGAGCTGGTCTACAGACATCAAACCAGGCAGATGGAAACATGGACTTGCCCTCCTCAGTTTTATGTTTGGGATCATGTTGCAGTCGCCCTCCATGTTGGTCCAAAGGTAGCTTCACTGTGTCTAGTCTTCATCAGTCTGATTCTGGATCTCTGGGAGAACTGCAGAAGGACTTACACACACACACACACACACATTTACACACACACACGCACGCACAAAACACTTAGCAGTGATGGTTCTGGAATCTAGCAGCTTCTGGAAGGAAGGACATAGAGATAGATCTCTTCTTTTTCCTTTTCAGGTGTTGAAGTTCAACGTCGATCAGCTCAGAACTAAGCTGAAGTTCTGCCAGCAAGATGAAGTTAGTTATGGCCAAAACTTTGGAAACCCAGATGGTTTTGATGGCGCTAAAGCCGAAGTGAACAAGCTGTGGCCCGGCTGGACTGGACTGCTGGAGATTGAAAGGTCGCTGAAGCACAGTCTAACTGGTAGGACTGGTTTACCTCCGTCTAATTATCCATCAGGGGTCTGATTTAGAAAACATTGCAAAGGCTCCATATTAAAAAGTGTTCATACACCTTTAACGCATTTATGAACAGAGAGGGTCCAGTGTGTGCAGCAGTTCAGGACCCCATTCAGCACATATATCCTCTAGAGCAGGGGTAACCCATTAAAAATCAGCAGGGTCCGAATAAAGAAAATCATCAACAAGTAAAGGTCCAGAGACATTTTTAATTATAATCTGTTACTTTAAACAGAATTTAACACTGAAAAAATGAGGTATTTATTATTTTCATCCATGTTATACATTTTAAATGGGCTGCTAATCCGTGACCTCTGCTCTAGGGAGCCTAATTAGCTGGTAAATCAGTCACAATCATGAGCCAGAAAACTTTAGTAATCCCTCACAATTTAAAATCTTCCAGCAGAGCCACTGCACCCTGAGGCAGAGATGTCTTAACCTCATTAAAATGTTCATATCAATTGGGGTGAACGCCAAATACCTGGCTATGGGGAAGGGAAGTAAGGGTCAGTAAACCTTTCAATATAGCCTGGATTTTGATGTAGAAATTCTACTGCTTATGAATCTTATCTCTAATAAAATCGATCTACAGTCCCAGTTTCATAAGAAGTTAAATTAAGTGTCTGAGAGGATTTATAATTAAATCTGGCTTGGGTTCATCACGTCATTGTCATGATGTTTTTAAGAGATCTGACCCACATGCAGGAAACCACTCAGAGAACCAGAGAAAATTTTATTATTGAAATTATCAATAAGGTTGATCCAGGGTAACTCAGAGAGCTGGTGCACCGGAACTGGAAGTGAGAAGGTAGGTTCAGAGGTTAGTTCAGGGACCGTGGGAACTTGCAAATCAGAGATGAACGGGACTAACGTTAGAACAAAAAGGTTATCTTCCCAGAATCCAGTCGGTGTGGGCTTATGCAGAGATTGGGGGGCTCGTTGGAGGGCGGACAGATTTTTGGTTTGGTTGGTTCCTTGTGGAGCAATGAAGCGGACTGCCACTTACATTTCCAGGAGAACTTCAACGGGTTGTGTGGAGATTAATCCCCTACTCAGTTTGAAGCTCAAAACAATCCTTCCAAGGGGAGAAGGCCAAAAATCCAGTTTGCAGGATGACTTCCTGCCGAAAAGGCAAAGAAAAAAACAAAGTTAGAACTCAGAGAGACAAAGACTCAGCTTGACTCAGCTAAACTCAGCTTGACTAGAGTACTCAAAACTGGCAAACACTCTGGCGACGAGGTAGTGACAGTCCACCGCTTAAGAGTCCTCAGTAATGAGCACAACCAGAACAGGGCGCCACCTGGTGGTGGAGGGAGAGAACACAAAAAGACAAACACAGCCCACACACACTGGATTCCTAACAGTCATCCCTGCCTCCAAAATATGCGTAACATTTTCACACCCAGTTTGTCCTTTTAAACCTTCTTAAAGAGGCGTCCAATGGCTCTTTTAGTTTTTTTTTTTGTTTTTTTTTTTTGAAGAGAGTCTGAAAACCTGCACGAATAAAGGGACAAATTTTTTGTATCCTGAATATTGGGGTCCAGTTGCTGCTCTAATGTCACAATATTCCTTTTGTGCTTAAAGAATCAGAAAACTTCCAATCCAATCCAACCCACTTTATTTATATAGCACAGTTTAAATAAACACAAGGTTTCCAAAGTGCTGCACAAAAAGATAAAATAA